TTTCCCAAACATGAAGAATGAATTGGAAAATCAAAAAAATGGAAAATCAAATACATGACACTTACAGGACACCAAATGCACAAAGTTACAACAGATCTACACCAAAGCACATTGTAATGAAAAGCCTAGCATACAGAATAAGGATAGAATCTTAAAGGCCACAAGAGAGGAATCAAATCATATATAGTGGGAAACCTATTTGTATCTCAGGAGATTTTTCAACCCAGACCCTCAAAGCCAGAAGACCCTGGAACAGCATATACTAAACTCTAAAAGAAAATGGATTCCAACCAAAAATCTTATATCCAGCAAAATTAAGCTTTAGATTTGATGATGACCATGATAAAAGTTAAAAGAATTTACATCTAGAAAGCCTGCTCTATAGAACATTCTTGGCAATGAAGAAGAATTGAAAAACAACAATGAAAATCAGCAAAGGAAGGTATTACGCAAACAAAGGAGCATCTACATTCATCAAACAAACTATTCTCAAGTTCAAGATTCAAACAGACCACAATACAACAATTCTGGGTGACTTTACACACTTCTTTCACCACTGGATAGATCTTCCAAACAAAAGCTGAACAAAGAAGCTATAGAACTCAATAATACAATCACTAACTTAGACTTAACTGACATATATAGAATATTTCATTCTGCAATAAGCAAATATACTTTCTTCTCAGCAGCACATGGATCCTTCTCTAAAATAGACCACATATTATGCCACAAAGCAACTCTTAGAATATATTTAAAAAGTAGAGATACTACCTTGCATTCTATCAAATCATAATGGGATGAAATTAGAAATCAATGATAAAATAAAACATAAAAGCTACTCCAACATCTGGCAATTAAATAACATGCTACTGAATGAACAATGTGGTGGCAAAAGACATCAAGGAAGAGATTAAAAAATTCTTAGAGGTGAATGAAAACACAGATATAATGTATAAAATTCTCTGGGACACGTGAAAGCAGTACTAAGAGGAAAATTCATTGTATGGAGTTCATTCTTCAAAAGAAGAAAAAGTCAACAAATTAATGACTTAACATTACATCTCAAAGCCCTAGACAAAGAAGAACAATCAATGAACACCAACAGCAGTAGAAGACTGGAAATAATTAAAATCAGAGCTGAAATCAATGAAATTGAAACAAAAGAAACAAATGAAAAAATTGACAGAATAAAAAGTTGATTCCTTGAAAAAATAAATAAAATTGACAAACAGGTGGCCATGTTAAGGAAAAAAAGGAGAGAGAAAACTCAAATTGCTAATATCTGTGATGAAGAAGGAAATATCACAATAGACACTACAGAAATGCTGAAGATAATTAGAAATTATTTTGAAAATGTGTACTCCAATAAAATAGAAAATATTGAAGGCATCCACAAATTCCTAGAGTCATATGATTTGCCCAAATTGAATTATGATGACATACACAATTTAAACAGATCAATTTCAAGTGATGGACTATGCTGCATTTTACATTGAATTGAGTATTCTAATAGGAAATTCAAAGAAGTTAAGTTATTCACCCCCACAGTATCCTCTGCTGTTATTAGCATCAGAATGGATTCCATTTTCTGGGAGTACTTATTAAAAATAGAGACTTCAAGCTTCCACCCAGGGCATCCCAATCACTGAGTGCCAAGGAATTTGCATTTGAATAAAGGATTTACTCAAAAACATTTGCAAGGAGTTATACTTGTCTCTGTCAAAGTTTGTGCAAAATCAATTTATTCTGGAAAGTTTTATGTTTCAGTTTTTTTAGTTTTTATTTTATTTTAGCATTATATATTTTTATTATAAACAACAGGTCAATATCTGTATATTAATTGTGCAAATTAATTGGTTTCACTATGACATTCTATACATGCCTTTGTTGTGCTTTAATCAAATCCACCCTCCCTACTTCTCACTTTTTTCCCCACCCTGGTCCTCTTCCCCTTCCCTGATCATCCTTTTTCTGCTTTCTGGTCATTCTTCTTCTCCTTCTCCTTCTCTCGTCCCCCTCCTCCTCCACCTTCTGCTTCTCCACCCTCTTCTTGTTTCCATATATGAGAGAAAACATGCAAAATTGACTTTCTGTGTCTGAATTATTTCACGTAGAAAGAAGTCCTCTAGTTCAATCCATTTTTCTGCACAAGACATGATTTAATTCTTTATAAGCTTTATATTTCTTCATGTGTTGTAATTGTGTTGTGACTTGGTGAATTTTGAATTTGTGAGTTTATTTTAGTTTAGTCTCCCTCCACATAAAGCACACATTTGATGCTTGATACTTTTAAAATTGTCTCCTATGAGCCATGAATGCCCCCATATTATAATCATCTTCTACAATAAATTTTTTGGTTTTTATTCTGTTGTCATACTAGAAATGTCACGGACACACAATTCAGTCATGGGGCAGCTCAGCCCAGTTCTTGGTTGTGGAAATACATCTGTGTCCTTAGATGTCTCTAGATGAATAACTTTCTGTAAACAAAATTCATAAGTGGAGTTTGGGACAAGTCATATTGCTTCATAATCCTTTGATGTGCACTGTGAGGTGAGAAGATTCATGCAGTGACTATGCACAGTTACCATGTACTATTTCCTGTGCGCATAGGGTATTTTAATTTATTGTTTTATCTTAAACTTTTTATTGATGCATCATAATTATGAATTAGAGTGGGATTCATTAAGCCATATTTAAAATGCACAAAATGTGATTTTATAAGTCTCTTTCCCAAATACATTTCCTTTCTCTCCAATTCTTTCTCCACTAACCCACTTGCTCTATTCAACATATCTCCATTCTATTATTATTTTTTAATTAGAGCATTATAATTACATACATCATTGGGATTCACTCCAGTTAGAATGGCAATCTCAGTAATACAAATAACAATAATTTTTGGTTAGAATGTGGCAGGAATGCAAATTGTTACAACCACTTTGGAAAGCCGTATGGAATTTCCTCAAAACACTAGGAATGTAACCACCATGTGACCCAGCTATCTCACTCCTTAGCATTTAACCAAAAGAACTAATATTAGTATATTTACAGTGATACATGCATACTGATATTTATAGCAGCACAACACACAATATTCAAGTTATGAAATCCATCTAGGTGCTCATAAACAGACAGATGTATAAAGAAAAAGTGGTGTAAATACACAATGGAGTTTTATTCAGCTGTAAAGAAGAATGTAACTATGTCATTTGCTGGCAAATGGATGGAACTAGAGAACATTATGGTGGGTGAAATAAACCAGACCCAGAAAGTTAAAGATTAAATGTTTTCTCTTAGATGTGGAAGTTACAGTGAGAAAAAGAAAAGGAATTTTTAAAAAAGGATCTCACAAAAATACAAGAGAGACCTACAGAGTAGAGGAAGGGGATCAAGATGGAGGAGCAGGAAGTATGAAAAAGTACTGGGGAATGAGCTCTACCAAATTATGCTAGGTCCAATGAAGATATCAAAATGAATCCCAATTATAGAGCACTTTTAGAACCCTTTAAAGGACTCAGACCCCTGGGTTTCACTGTGGCTTCTGAACCTGTACACCAATATGTCCTTGTTTTCAATTCGGTTCACATGTTGTGTTTGTTCGTTTTCTTGCACACGAGAAGAGCATCTTACTAATGAACTCTACTGTATTCTTTCACTTCCCATGTGCCAGCCCTTCCCATATTTTTGAAGCACAGGAATTGACAAATGAATGATTTGGATCTTCTGGACTGAAAGTCCTAATAAAATCTTTATCTTGTCTGAGAAGTAAAAGTGGAAGAGAAAAACATCTGTTACTTGGTTGCATATATTTTCTAATCTTTACTTTTCCATTTGAACTGGGATTTTGGTCTTAAAAGATAGGAACAGGAAGATTTGGGTTTTCAACTTCTCTTGTGATACGATGTGTTCCTCCTTCTAAATTTTCTTACTTCTCTACCTGATAGGATGCTGCAACCTAGATGCAGGAGCATACAGCAGGAGCAGTAGGACACCATTATCCATGGAGTGCACGTCATGTCAGCACAGAGCAGGTGGATACCTGAGGTAGCCAGAAAATGTCCCACAGGACACCAGGCATCTTAGTCTACAGAACCTGTGAATATATTACCTTACATGGCAAAGGAGACAGTGCAGATGTGATGATGTTGAGGATCTTAAGGGGACTTTCCTGGATTATCCAGGTGTATCCAGTGGCATCACAAGGGTATTAAAAATATATGAGATGGGGAAAAGAGTATGAGAGTCAGAGAGAGACTTAAAGATGGTAGGCAGCTGGAGTTTGGGATTAAGGAAGGGATGACAAACTAAGGAATGCCAAGAAGCCAGGAAAGGCAGGACACAGGTTCTCCCTCAGGACTGCAGCAATGCTGGCACCTTGATTTGAGTCCCAAGAGACCCATTTGGAATATCCAACCTCCAGATCTCCAGTCAAGTAAGACCATAAGACATCTGTGTTGCCTCAGGCCACTATATTTGCTGTCATTTATTACTGCAGCAATAGGAAACTAATATAGTGCCACAGTTCCAAGATAGCTGCCCCACATATGGCTTCAGAAACCTCCTGTGGATTCCATGCTCACCTAACCAATAAGCCCAACTATCAGTGCCATCAGCACCACTCGGAGACTTCATTTTCCTGATATAGGACAGAGGCAGTTCCTGGCTCCTTGGTTTTAAGAAACTGTCCTGTTTTTTCCTCCTTCATACACCATCTCCCAAAGCCTAGATCTGTGCCTGAATGGTTTTCTGCTTGAAAATAAAACATTTTGATTATAGTTCAGTCTTTCATATTCTAGTTTAGTTTTTAACATTTCAAAGTAAAATAACAGATAAATCAATAAAAACAAAATAAAAATAGAAACTTATTCTCTGAATCTTTGTCTCCTGCTCTTCCTTACAGTTAAACAGTATCAGTCTCTCTTCATTATCTAACTTGTTGTTTTAGTCAGCTTTGCTCCACTTACATAAAAAATTTAGAAAACCTTCACAATAATAACATGGAAGGGGAAAATCTTATTTTGATTCATCGTTTCAGAGGTTCAGTCCATGATACCTACTGCATAACTCTGGGCCTAAGGTGAGGCAGAACATCATGGCAGAAGTTTGTGGCACAGGAAAGTAGCTCAGGACATGACAGCCAGAAAGGAGACAGAGGCAGAGGTCACACAAGATTGGTCCAGGTGCCAGGGAAAATATGTACACCCCAGGAGCATACTCCCATTGACCTACTTCTTCCAGCTACCCCCTGCCTGCATAAAGTTACCACCTACTTAACACACTCAAGTAGATTAATCCACTGCTTAGGTTATAGCTCTGATGGTCTAATCATTTCACTTGTGAACATTCTTTTCTTTCCTTTGGGTACCAGAGATTGTTTGAACCCAGGGGTGCTTAATCACTGAGCCTCATACCCAATCTTTTAAAAAATATTTTATTTAGAGACAAGGTCTCTCTGAGGTGCTTAGGGTCTTGATAAATTGCTGAGGCCGGATTTGACCACTTAATCCTCCTGCCTCAGCCTAGTGAGCCGCTGGGATTACAGGTGTGTGCCACACTGCTGGGCTCTGAACATTCTTGCATTATCTCATACATGAGCTTTTGAGGGACACCTCATATCAGACCATAACGCTTGCCTTCGCCTCTTCTATATCCATTCATTCTCAATTCACTGCAATCTAGATTCTGTCCCCACACTTCCATGAATACAATTTTAGTCTCATCAGTAATATAATTGTGAATGGCAACCAATGGTTCTCTGTTTTTATTTAACTTGACACATGTACAACATTTGATACTCTTTGCTATTCCCTCTTTGGCAAATATCTTTCATCCCAGGGAGCCTGTTTCCTGTTTTCCCATGTGTATTTCTTGCTACTCTTTCTTTTTTAGGTATAACTTTGAAGTTGGTGCTCCTCTAGCTCCTTCTGTTCTCACTGTGCACACTCTGTCCAGTCAACAAACACTGAGAGTCTTTGCATCCTCCGTGCTGTGGTAGGTGTGCACCAGGCATTTGGATTCACTCCTATGGTTTCAAAAGCCCCAGAATGTAAAAAAAAAAAAAAAAAAAAATCCCACTTGTCCCAATTTCCTTCCTAAGCTGAAAACTTAGTGACAATACTACCTAATAAGGAACTCCAGCTTCATGCCCCAACAATCACAGTATACCCAACCCATCATCTTTATCTTATAAAAGTATTCTTTCTCCTCTCTGCTGTATCTTTTGGGGGGCACATTTAAAACCTGGAAATCACCCTTGTCTCTTGTCGCCATCATGCAGCCCTAAGCCCCTACATCCTTTCAGTCTTTAAATTTCATACATTATATTTTCAGAATACAGGGGGACAAGGTCACTAACTGAGAGGTGGTGAAATCAAGTTATGTCTGAGAATTTATAAAGAATGTAAGATAGCATTACCAAGAAGAACTTGGTAGATGATAAATTGAATGTTTTCGTGTTCCACCTTCAATATATACTCTTCTTCTTTTATTCAAATATATTTTAAATATTTTTATCCTAAGATACAGATGATATTTCTGTTTTCAAGTCCTAAATAGACTGCTGTGGAGGAGAAAAGAGTCTTTATCACCTCCCACTGGATTGCTGCTCTGTGGGATCAAAGGTAACATCTTTCCCAGATGTAAAATTCTTTTGTGGAGCTTCAACCCTTAATCTCTCTCCCCAACTCCCTAAATTCCTGAGAGTAGTGCTCAAGCCAAGCTCTGGGTCAGCAAAAGCTATTATTATCACAACTGGCTGGCCTTAGGCCTCTATACGTTCCTGCCTGCCACTTTTTCCATTGCTATAGTAAAGGGTATTCTTTGCTTCATTGTTGAGTTGAAATTACAAAGAGAATAATTAATATGTGAAATGAAGTAGGCAGGATGGTTCTCTGGCTATGCAAATTAGTACAGAGGTTTAGAACCTTATGATTAGGATTTGAAGTGTATAGCTATTACCTTATTTTTTTTTTTCAGTAGTAGTTACTGAACGCAAGGCCTCAGGCATGCTGGGGAGCTTCTCTGCCACTGAGCTGCACCACAAACTCTTTTTCTTTTTCTTTTGAGAAGGGTCATACTAAGTAGCTCAGGCTGGCTTTGAACTTGCAGTTCTCCTGATTCCTGAGTAGCTGGCATCACAGGTATGTGTCACCACATGCAGCTTGAATGTCTTAGCAATTTTGTCTTTGAATTTGTGTATTGTTTGATGAAATCCAAAGGGACAACAAAGTATGTACTAGATACTTGAAACTTCCAATTACCCATGGTCTTGCCCTACACCATATCCCCTGCTTCCTGATGGACTCTTGTTTACTTGCATCTCCACTTCATAGCACCCAAATCTTCTTCCTTTCCTGGCCACCTTGCCACCTTCTTAGCACCCTTGCAGAGGGTACCCTTCCAGATACCAGATGGAGAAACTTGTGGTGAGGAGTTCCCTCTGAAGTCTCAGGTCTAGGCACAGGCTGCTGTTTCCATCGCAGGCTTGTAGATTCATAACTCTTTAATGGGTATCTTAGCAGGGCTGTCTCTTACCACCATAGTGCAGGTATCAAGTTCTTTCTGGTTTGAAGATTGCAGTTTCTTGGGGTGAGGGGGGTCACCTCTCTGCCTTTGGTTTAGTGACAAGTCCAAGAGTAAGACAGATACCTGAGTCATCTTCTTTCCCCTGATCCTGGCCTTGGTATATTGGCTCAGAGACTGACAGGAGGGAAACCTGGTGGTCACATGGGTGGGTCACATGCATACTGGGAGTAGGGCATTCAGACAACTGTGATATTCTTTACTTAACTCACAAAAATTTTTGTACTCAAGGAGAAGGGACTTTACACAGCATATAGCAAATTGACAGGTTAAGAGAGGCTATAAATCTAAGAAAAAAGGGTTTATACTTCAGAAATTTTCATGACAATTTTTTTTCCCGCATTTTTCAAAATGTTTCTTTTCCCTTATTAATTTTTATTTTGCATGGAGTTTTGCAAATTATGTGGACAGACTTGCAAATGATAATAGGTAATGATATTGTAAAATATTGGGTTAAGCCATGTTGGTTAAGCAGTTGAATTTGAAGAAATCTTTTTGTTATGAAAACCAGAAATGCTTCTAGAAATTAGCAGAGCACAGTGAAACATGTTTTACAGAAGAACTTATTAATTAGAATCATCAAAAGTAAGTTTCCTTTCATGATTCACACCTTACACTGCAAGGATTTCTTGTGGGGAGATTTAGGATGAGTGAACCTGATTGGCTCACTTCCTAAAGCATCCTGGGAGATGCAAACCTAATAAAAGGTGACTTCTCAAATATGTCACTATATGTAATTATCCTTTGCAAGTAAGAGCTTCACGGGTGTAAAGAACCAGGTATTTGAGTAGCAAAATTTCTTCAATTATTCACATAATGTGATTCCTAGGCTGATGAAAATTCACAGTAGATTTGGGATTAACTAGGCAGTTTAGACAGAAATAACTATATGATTAAAGAGAGAATGACTTTTTGAGTTTTAAAATTTATTTAACTTTCTTCATAAATAAAATGGAAAAATGATACTCTCTGAGGCAAGATTTCTAGGTAGTTGCTCAGATATGCAGTTTGATTCTTTTTAATTTTCAGAACTCAAAATAAATATTTCCTACCACAGAAGGGCAGAAATACCACAAGCATCAAATTGCAGAACATGACCAGCAACTTTTCCCAACCAGTTTTGCAGCTTTGCTATGAGAACCTGAATGGTCCTGTATTAAAACTCCCTACTCGCCAGGGCCCCAGGTGATTCTCTATGCAGTGTTTGGCTTTGGGGCTGTGCTGGCTGTGTTGGGAAACCTGCTAGTGATGACTTCTGTTCTACACAGGTATCAGTGATGATGGTATGGAAAATTTAGTAAGTGTGCTTAACTGTGTAGGTGGCTGTCAAATTTTTGTCAATCAAGATTGGGTTTTGATTGATTTTCTGTTATTCTTTATACCTACCCTTGTTATGACCATTCTATATAGTAAGATTTTTGTGGTAGCTAAACAGCAAGCTATAAAAATTGAAACCAGTATGGGTAGTAGTGAAACAGAATCATCTTCAGAGAGTTACAAAGCCAGAGTGGCCAGGAGAGAGAGAAAAGCAGCCAAAACCCTGGGGGTCACAGTGGTAGCATTTCTGATCTCATGGTTACCATACACAATAGACGCATTAATTGATGCTTTTATGGGCTTTATCACCCCTGCCTACATTTATGAAATTTGTGGTTGGTGTGCTTATTATAACTCAGCCATGAACCCTTTAATATATGCATTATTTTACCCGTGGTTTAGAAAAACCATAAAATTTACTTTAAGTGGAGAAATTTTAAAGGGTAGTTCATCAACCATAAGTGTATTTTCAGAAAAAGTATAAGCATTAAGTGGAAGGAAGCTAAAGATAGTTTCAAAATTATGTGCTTATGATGAAATTAAATATACAACATGAATAAACATAATTTGATCAGTTTCAGTCTCTAGTATTTCACCTTTTTCTTTCCTCCTCTCTCTCTCCTTGATCTTCTTCCTCTACCCTACTAGTCTCCCTTACATTTCATGAGATACTTTTTTCCATTTGTCTCTCTAGCTTCTAGGTAGGAGATCAAAATAGGACTCTGTAGTCTGGCTTATTTAGCTTAAGAGGATGCTCTCTAGTTTCATCTTTTCCCCAGCAAATGACATAATTTTTTAATACTTTATGGCTTAATGACATTTCATTATGCATGTATACCACATTTTCTTTATCCATTCAACTGTTGAGGGAGACCTAATTTGGTTCCATAATATGGTGATTGTAAGTTGCTCTAATATAAACATTGGTATGCATGTATTGCTATATTATGTTAGCTTTAATTATAAAGGAAGTCTTTTTGTCAAAAGTCCTTGTCTGTTTTCCTCAAAATGAAATGCACTATTAGTACAGCCCCACTCCCCTCTTCTGAACCTCATTTATTCACCCAAATGAGCTCTAAACGTCTTTGACAACTGCAAATCAACTTACTGCACAGCCATGGACATGCTGAAGATGGAAAGCAACTTTACTCTGCAAGAGTCTTCAAAATAACATCTGACCTTGAGACAAATTACTGAGCTAGGTATCTCAATCTTGGTGAGCTTTGGTTCCAAAGTTGTTTGCTTCAGCCAATGGGGGGCTGCAGAACTGTTGCAATCCCCTTAGGCCTGGGGTGTAGCCATAGAAATGCCGTGCCTCTCACATATATGTATAATTATTAAAAATACAAGATTGTTGTGATTGATAAAAGATATATTTATTTAAGCTCTTGCTTAAACCATAATAACTTAATCCATAATAGTCCATGTGTGTTTTCTCAATTTGGTAGTACTAAGACAACAACAAGTACATGATGTGGACCTCTGTGTATTTTTATGAATTTAGAAATGATCTATGGGAGTTACAAATAATTACTATGGTTTGCCTCAGTTTCAGTCAGGATTAGGATAACTTTCCCAATTATTTGGTGGTAGGACTATGAATAACCCATCAAGAACAAGTTATGAAACATCATAGGGGATGGGGGCTTAGCTCAGTGGTGGACTGTTTGCTTAGCATATGTGAGGCCTTGGTTGCCAACCCCAGCATAGTGAAAAATAAAAACAGAAACAAACAAAAAATACACTATAGCTCATCATTAACATGTAGGTTCTCTGAGAGCTACGTGGTTGGGCATTGCTGTTTTTTGTTTGTTTGTTTCAAAACATCATTTTTTGGTGCATTATAATTATGCATCATAGTGGGATTTGTCATAACAAATTTGTACACACAATTTAACAATATAAATTAGTCACTGTTGCTTCCCAGTACCACTCCTGATTTGGTATTACTGTAACAGAGTTTATTTATTACTGATGACCTAGTAGATGCTTAACTGAAACTTATGAGGTCATGATGTTTTTACAACCTGTGAACATACTGTACTTGTTTTTATTTAGTTATCATGCTTTTGACTTATATCTCATTCTTCATTGTTGACTTACTGCAGCCCATTTAAAGGTCAGTCTTAAAGAATGACATTTCAGCTTTGCATTTATATTCAAAAAAGCAGTGACTCATTAGTAATATTAATTTAAAAATCAAATTATTTGACATGAGTATTAAATGATGACTTTATGCCTTTGGATGCCTAAAAATTTATTACTTACAGTACTTTTTCCTTTATTTTTATTATTTATTTTAAAATAAATTTTATTGTATATATTTGAAGTGAATTACATAATTATATGGGATCTAGAAGCATAGTGACATTGTTACTGAAGTGTTATAAATTGTGTCACATAGCTACTTTGTTGTTAAAAGAACTGCCAAAATCTACTAATGTTAACAGAAGTCCCTAATATAATAGAATTTCATAAATGAGACTCCTTTTGCAAGGTAGATCTCTAGACTTATTTATACTATGGTTTTTCTTCTTTGCATCATTTGACCTACATTTCCTCATTACCTCCCCTCTCCATATACTAAATTTAAAAATTAATTATGTTGCAATACATAAGCAACAATTTTGAAACATTTTTACCTATACACAGGTACATTTCTGTACTTTATAAATCATAATTTGAGGTTGACTAAAAATACCATGTTATTGTATTTTTTTTTATTCCAGAAACTCTGTGTTCATTATTTCAGTACCTAACACACTGCCTTGCACTTCTTAAGTTTATAAGGATATTTTTCAATTAAGTTAATGATCAGTTATTCTGCCAATAAGGATCTATTAGTCCTTTTACATTTAAAAAAACTCTACTACTTTCTTCTTTATTTCACTTCTATGATATTGTTTCATGTCTTGTAAATATTCTGAGATAAGACTTTTATAGATTGTTTTATTCGAGGAACTTTCAAAACATACCTTTGTTAAGATTGATTTTCAGAAATCCCATAATTCTGTTAGCCAAACAGACAATTTGAGTAATGTACACTATGTTGAAAAATATATTCTTTTATAATTAGAAATCAGAGCTAAGGAGAAACTGCAGGGTTCTGTTGAAAGAGTGTTTTGTCTGATTCAAACAATGAAATGAATTCAAAGGTAAATTCTTCATGTCGAATTAATAATTACATCTCCATGAGAGATAGCAGAAATACAAATAAACAGATTAATGATAATATATCTACATAAATGAAATGATATTTGTTTAAACTGCCTATATTCCATTCTTTTTATGTTGGTTTTTAGAATTAGCATTTTGTTTTTCTTATTGTTGATATTAAGTAAAATAATTATTTATTATTATCATTATTATTTGCAGTACTGTGGATTGAACCTGGTGGCTCTTTACCACCTAATACATCTGCAACCCCTTTTTTTATTTTTTATTCAAGGCAGGGTCTTGCTAAGCTATTGAGGCTGCCCTTCAAATTGCAATTCTCCCACCTCTCCTCCCAAGTTTCTGGAATTATAGGAATGCAACTACACACCCAGTTCAATTAAAGGAATTTTTAACAAAGTGTTAAGCTTTGAAGAGATTCCATGTACTACATTTTAGAGCTGAGTTGTTGAGACCCGTGTCTGTCTTCAAAAATCAATGCTTTACTGACATTGTGAACCAGTTAGAAAAACCAGTATTTCCAGAAATAAGTCAGAGATGATTCTCCCAGACATTACGCGGGAGTTGACATTTATACTTTATTCTTTTCAAACACACACACACACACACACACACACACACACACACCACAGGTATACATGAGTCTAATGCCATAGGGCAATATTTCATCATTTCCTAAGGTCAATACTAAGCTAAGCTTTACAGGCCATATCAACAATAACAACATACAAGGTCCCTGTAATGATACACTCTAGTTAAATTTGTGAAGTAGGCCAAACCCATTTGGCTGTCCTCTATCTGCCCATTTTCTACTTTTTACTCTCTCCTAGGAGCTCCCCTACATTCCAGGAGCAACTTGCTTGTGTTATATCCTTCCACACCAGTGAGATGGATGACCTGTGAATTTGCTAAATAAATTAAATTTTAAAAAATAATTTTTTAACCTTTAAAAAAATTGTTCTAATTAATTATACGTGACAGTAGAATGTGTTTTGATACATAATACATGAATTGAGTATAACTTTTCTCATTCTTCTGGTTGGACATGATGTAGATTCACTCTGGTCATGTAATCATATGTGTACATAGGGTAATAATGTCTTATTCATTCTATTCATTCAGACGCAATCACTTGATGTCATATGGTGAAATATTTAGTCACCACCTGGGGTTAGTAGCACACCAAGAACCATATTTCAAAAAAAGTGTTTTATCTGGCACTGAAAATAGCCTAGCCTTATTCTAGAACCCCAGGGAAGTGCATTGCATTTCTCCAGTGGAGCCTCCCATAACATCTATACTGCAACTTTTTCTGCAACTAACACCTCTAATACCACAGAGTTGTCAATTTGCATAGCTGTTATACTATATTTCCATCTCACTGTACAGTCAGACCCTGCTCTAGGCCCCACAAAAGTATGGCAGACAATTTTGTTACCCACTGTATGGAATAGTGGTATTCTTTTCTTTCCCCCCAGTTCTAGGGAATTATCCCAGAGCCTTATTCATATTAGACAAGCACTCTAGACACTGAGCTACATCCCCAGCCCAGATTGGTATTCCAAAGCATGGAATCTGTTGCTTCCAGATCCTATAGAGGTCTACTAGGCATTGTGTTTCCTTCTTGGCTGGAGGAGATATACAAGATGTTATAATTTGTCCTTTAATTTGAATGGGTCATCTTTATCAACTTTATTGATGGCCCCTGAATCTTCAAATGTCCTATCTCCAAAATTCTAGTAAGCACACATCTTACCAAGCCTCCTATGTGCTAGTTACCACTTGCTCAAATGCCCTGAAGAATATATTATCAATGTTCCAGATCAATGTGATTTAAACTAGGATGCCTAAGCAGTTCAGACCGCTTTCTTGAAGAGAGATCTGAACAATTCTAGCAGTGTCTCTCTGAGTATGCCACAAAGATGCAGCAAATAATAGCATTATTTTGAGAATGGTAATACATTATATCAAGGCTGATTAGAGATATGGGTTGAGAAAATACAAAACTTATTGAAAATGTTGGCCTAAATATGATGGGTCATCAGGCTGTTAGATATATAAGGCAGAGTTTCTCAACCAATGGCATAATAATGTGCTGAAAATGGTTTACATGTAACCAGGAGATACTGAGTCACTCACTACTCAGGGCAGTCAGACTTGGCCACTGCTCTTAGCAAGAAGACTCAGGCCACAATCAGCTGTACTGAATGACTTCTAATATTGCCCAATGTGCAGGCAGAATCTGGCACTGTGATGTCTTTTCTGCAGGTGACAAGCAAGGTGGGAAACATTCATTGCTTCCTATTCTTCTATGGCATACTATAGGAAAGGACACAATCCTTAATACTTTGTAGTTGCTTTAATTTTTGAATTATTCACTCCTAACTGCATCTCAGGTGAAGAGTGAGAATAATAGTTGCCACAGTCCGGCTACGGCAAAATAACCGGGGGTGGG